GTGCTGAGTGTCGTTCCAATGTGAGTCCCTCGATACAAAGGCTGTTGTTCTGCAAACAACTCAACTGCATGAGTGTACAATTCCGATTTGGAATGCCAAAGCAGCAATTGCAATCTTCTCCTTGGGGCTTTAAATTCTCAACATGGTGTCAGTTGGGGTTGTAAAAAGACAGCAAAAACGGTTTGAGGCATACCATCTTGACCAATCAATATGTTGTGCTCTCCAGGAAGCTCCCTAGCGAATTCTTGTTGCTGTTCCATACTTGAGGCAATGTCCAGTAAAGATTGAAATATGTTGTCATAGGAACCAGCATCGGTCGATACCATCGTGTTGAGTTGTGTTCTGTAATACCCATGTGTCAGTCAAATAACATTGTTCTCAAATCAAATAAAGATAATTGCGGTTGATGGAGGCTCATTTACCTCAGTCGATTCAAACTGGCTTCCCGATCCAGAAAGCTGGCCAGACGCTCTTGCCGCTCACGATCTGCATCGGTATGGTTTAATTGAAATTGACGCTGATTGTTCCATTGGTCTTCAAAGAACTGAATGTCGTAACTTGCTCTTGGGGATGCAAAGGGATTAATCAACTTATACAGTGAGTCGAGCTTCCTGGTTGATTCTTGTTTTCGACTGATTGCTTTATTGTACTTGTGCCCAAGCCAGTGAACTGAAGGACCTTGTCAGCTGTTATGAAAAGGTAAAAGAGACAAGATTTGTACCCACTCAAGTTTTCCTTGCCTCGTTCGTTGTGGAATTGGATTTTGTGTGCAATTGCAGCAAGGCGGTGATTTCGGGTAGCGTATCGAAGAGGACTTACTAGAGGAGAAAGAAACGACCATAGGCGTTCTAATCCTTCCCCATCGGATAGGCCCCATCCGTCGTTGTAGCGAGGGCTAAATTCCAATTGACACTTCCAATTGTGTACATAGGAATGAAACACCGACGTGCCAAACGTGAGCCTATTAGTATCTTCAGGGAAAAGGTGCCGCTTTGAGTTACATCATCATCAGCACCTGTGATAAAGCATGATGAAATAAAAAAAAAAAATCCAACTTACCAAAGAAATAAACTTCTTCAAATTACATCCGATGTCATAGAGAACTCGCACATCCCGTGTTGAGTCGACATCTGATAACACCTGGTTGAGTATTGACAAGGGATACTTGCGATTTTCACCTCCATCTGAGATGTTGGCAAGGTAAATTGCTGAGTCGTGTCTACAACAGCAGCCCATCAGCCCTGTATCATCACAGGCTTTCCACGTTGACTTATTTCTTTTGTCATCTGCGGCTTTATGTGAATCTGCACATCGATCTCGCTGAAATATCAAACCAAAATTACTGTTAGCATTTAATTGATACAAATGATTTAGTTAAACTCACAGTTCCTCTGACACGGTGCATCTCTTCTTGGTTTTTGATGTAGTCATTCATCTCATTGATCGAGCAAGGTTTGATAAATTTATTGGGAGTTATCAACTCAGTATAATTCCTGCTGCCTGCGAAATGGTGCCGGTGTTGAAAGTTCCCATCCAGGCATATTACTAGAGGGGGTTGTTGATTCTGTGTTGCTTGGTTTGATGTAGTTGGTTCATTTTGATTTTGAGAATCGGTGTTGGGTGGCATTGGATGATTCTGAGGAGTGGAACCGGGCAGGGTGGCTGAGTTTTGGGTGAAACTTTCAGAAGAAGGAGAGCCAAAACAAGCAGGGCACGAATCTAAAGCTAATGACTGTTGCTTTGTCAAGTGGAGAGTATCTTTGATAACATTGTTTGTACGATCACCTAGCAAGCGGTAGACATCAATAGCGGCTGCAAAGTTTGTACGGAGATCTCGCCGCTGAACGAGCAAATCGAAACAGGGTAATTAATTATTTAATATTTCTGAAGAAGTTACATGAGATAGTCACCTTTCCCGATTGGGTTAGAAGTGGAGGAGATCGTTCCTCCAGCCATGCCTGCATGGCCTTCATGAAAGGTAATGTACCTACAGTGCACCACTGCCACAAATGATTGTGGAAACCAAGCAAATTGATTGAAAACGCTGTCTGAGGGGCTACCGGTGTACTGCCAATGTATCCACGAGCGAGTAAGTGCAGTATATCAGGTGTACACTGGCAGAAAGGAATGGATTCGCGTTTTTGAGCTTCAAAGGTGTGGGGCAACAAGAACTTGGATCAGTTAGAGATTGGGTAATTTATCGCAACAAAGAGGCTTACTATTCAAATCAATCAAGTCCACTTGTCGATGTGTAAACCGGTCGCATGTGCAAAAGTCTGTTGAAAAATTTTCAAAAGCATTAGAGCTTGTCCAGTTTCTTGTCTTGACTTGGAGCCAGAGGTATGCTCCATGAAGGGTTGGAATCAACTCAGTCCAGTGGTTCTTGATTGTCTGGTGTCGATTTCGCTGATCTACTGAGGTGTGATGTGCATTCAATTGGTCAATTAGACTATCATTATCTTCATGGGCTTCTGGTTCCGGATCGTAGTGATTAAAATTTTCTCCAGGCCCGTTTTCCTCATCTGCTGGATTTGGATTCATTTGACGATGTATGTCCTCTTCTAGTTGCTGGTGTGCCAAAACAATGTCGGGATTGATCAACAAGCGTGGGTCTGTTCCGGTCTGCATCCTTTGGAGAGTTTCCAAATCACGAAGCTGATCTGCAAGAGGGGTAGGCCTAGGTCGGTATGAGCGCTGCTCAGTGAAAAGATTATCAGAGCTTGGACGTGGCATTGTTAGACAAGTAGGGAGAGAGCTGAGGTGGTTTGAAGATGTTTTTGATGAAGCTGAGGTGGTTGGAGGCAGACAAGTAGTTCTGTTGACAAGAATTTAATCCAGAAGATTGAAATGCAGACTTGTGCAAATTTTACCGTGGCAAATTTTGGGCTTTTGGACTGAGCCCCTCTTTACCCTTGTGGGGTTCATCATGAATCATCTGTAGTCACTGGGAAGCTGTAGGTTTTAATGCAAAACTCACCTGTTTCACATGATAAAAGAGCCTTCATGAATAATTTGAAAGTATTCAACAATTTATATTCTCAGCATTCCCAAGATGCACAAGATAGAAGGAGTGTAGGAGCTTTGAAAATTGGGTGTTGGTAGAAAAACATGACTCATGAATAACTTTTTTTGGGACTTGTATTGAATTTAGGAGATCAATACAATTGTAATTTGCTTGCTCTCTGATTTTATGAATTATTAATCCTTTGCACTCAATAAGTGTCTAGGATACAAGGAGATGACGAATTGTTCATTCTGATAATGGGTTGGTGCACAATGTTAGAATGACCACATGTTGTAACAGTTTCACTGAATGTGTTTAAACCATTCCAAAAACATCTAATGTGTTTAACCAAAAACATCTAATGTGTTTGAAACAATCCAAAAACATCTAATGTGTTTAAACCATTCTGACAACATGGAATCTTGTTCAATAACCATAGAGAATAAAAATTCCATTTTTGGAATGATTCAAATACATTCAGTTAATATTTTCATGGTCATTCTATATGTACATCTATTACCAGCATGACCACATGTTAGAACAAATTCCCTGGATGTATTGCAATCATTCCAAAGAATGGAATATTTTTCAATAACCATAGAGAATCAAAATTAATATTCTTGGAATGGTTGAAATACATTCAGAGAGTGTGTTCCCACATGTGGTCTGCTCTGTTCTCCCTCTCAAATAGAGGCAACACACTTCAACCCCACAAGCACACTGTCACACCCACATAAATGAAGAAACCCTACACAGACATACACCCATCACCTTTTCATCCATTCCTTACTTCAACATAGTCCATCCTCCATCTCTCTCTCTCACTTACACAACTCTTTATTATCAATGTTGTGGTTGTTTTTTCTGCTTAAACAGCAATATTATTCATTATTGGGGTTGCATTCTCTTATAGACACTTGGCCTAGTGTCTAACTTTCTGACACGGTCATTCTGATATTGTTCACCCACCTATTATCTGAATGAACACATTCACTGGATGTATCTCAACCATTCCAAAACTAAAATCTTGATTCCCTATGGGTATTTGACACATCCATCAAACACATCCGGGGAATGTGTTTCAACCAATCCAAATTGAAGGCCTCAACCCCTCAAAAAAAAGTTACTCATCATTCCTTTTTTCCTACTAACACACATTTGCGTTGATCTTGATTGGAAAGGATGAAAAATTAATATTCCCAAAGAAAATTTGCATTTGAATGCTCACCAAAATTTGAAGGAATCTCCCGTTAAACTAAAAACATTTACCCACCAGTCTTTATTTCCTACTGTCGTATTGTGTGTCCAAACCTCATACCCCATGTATTGTTAGAATTAATTGTAGGTTCTTGCCAATTTTGAAGAAATCATGGCCTCAAACCAAAATCTTTCTCATCGGTCCCTTTTTCTTATTAACACCAATTTTTCCAAAACCCACCTTGTGTCAGCCATGTTTCTTTTTTCCCTTAGTCATCTTTTGAGTTCAAAGTGTAAAAAAATCTGTTAAAAAATGGTCAATTAAGGTGCTCTCCACTAGCCCCTTTCTCATACCAACACCTATTGTTTGATTTCCAAGGAACCAAACAGGGTATACAGTCAATTTTTCCTACTATAACATCTCAACATTCAGATGGTTTGAATGGAAATGATATGTAAAATTTCAAGGGATACATATCATATTTTAGAGCTTTTAACCTTTTCTCAAAGCTGTTGACCCCTCAGCTTCAGCTGTTATTGTTCTATTTGCGCTCAAAGTAAAAAATGTTGAGATCTGAGCCCAATCCCTCTAGAAATCTATTGGTACATTTCTAAAGCTTAATATTACATAATCTCCAGCTGCTTTCTCAATGACATCATTGGTCACGTCTGACATAAATGAACCTCTATCTCATGAACTTGCTTGCTCTCTTTTCCCCCATGAATCCTTGAATTCCTTTCCTTAAAACTCATCTTTACTAAGGCATCTTAAAGACTATCTTACTTCCTCTTAAGTCTTTAGATTCATTGCTATATCTTGACAAAATTCTCATAACCATATTTGCTCTCATGGTGAAAAGTCGACTATGATATTATTCTCTATCACAAACTTGTGTGCTTCCCTTCCTAATCACCATTCTGCCAATCATTGCACTTCCATTGTGGACTCATGTGCTTCCCTTCCTTCCAATCTTCCGCCAACAATTAGCACGTCTGATTATCTTTCCTATTGTCGTAGGTTATTGACTCAATACTCTTTCATCAACTTGACTGATCTCAACTGACATCTTTTCATTATTTAGTTATTCTTTGTTTTGGTCTCCTTGTGATTCTTCTTTGTTGTGTCCCTTGTTATTGTGGCTCCTGCCTTTAGGTACACTTATTTTTTTATTTTTTCATTGTTATTATTTCTTATTGTATTTCATATTCTTACTGATCTGAAATACACCTTTGGTTTGACACTTAACAAAAAATCATACTTTTTCCAATATGTGTAGTTTTGGCGCTGCTGAACCATTATTTTGTGAGAAAGCAAAAAACAAGTGGATCAGCATTAGAAGCATGTTAAATGAACCACTACACAGTTGGTGTATTTTGTTGTATCTAAGCTAGATTGTGTATATGTAAAGAGCAGATAGTCACCATGTATGTATGATAAGAAACTATAACTAAGATGACAAGGAGGAGGACAAGTACATAACAGGTGCAGTAACCAAGGAAAATAAGAGAAACCAAGGAAATTAAGAGAAATTACAGTTTCAAGAGAAGTGAGGAAATGAAAATAAAATTATATAGAGGTGGTGGTGCTATCATTCAAGCTTGCTTCATTGAGATTTGGATCAATTGTCTGTTCACTTGCAATCAGATTGTTTGAACCTGCCAAGTTGTGAGTTGCAGGGTTGTTTGAAGAAGTCGTCTCCAAGTTGTTACGGCCTTCATCAATGGGGATTACAGTGAGCCACTTGTTGTAAATGGCCTCAAGGATAATATCGACTTTTCCATCGCTTGTATTCTTAAATTGTACTCCCACCAGATCCTCCTCCTTTAGCTTCACTGCCTCTGGGGAAATGTTAACCTTCAACTTCAAGTTTTTGAAGACCTCCCGAGCCTTCTCACCTGGCCAACCACTAGTGCGAGCTCCGTTCGATGCTTTTGCTACTCAAATTCATAGATCAATCAGCTTGACCATCAAGTCTGCAAGTCTGGAGATGAAGAAAAACATCATACCTAGAATTTCCTTGAGCTGAGTGGTCATGGAACTTTTGTTTGTTTTGGCAAGCCCCGTGTCCCAAGGTCCCTTTCCTTTTCTGGGTACGTTTGATGTTGTCACCTCGATTGCAGCTCGCTTTCGCTTCTTACAGACCGCCTCAATTGGCAAGTCATGCAAGTTTGCCTCCACCCCCAAACCCGCAGCCCACACTCGGAACCCCCTCCACGGATCGTTGTCGTTTGCTTTCTTAGCCTTGGTGCTGAGAAGTTGCATGTAATCTGCACCAAGAAAACTCGAGCCGGTGATGAAGACACGCCCTTTGATATCGGTTGATGCAAGAACCAAAAATGATTCAACTGAGTACTGTGTGCTGAAAAAATTCATCTTGATTTTGAAGGCAGTTGTCAGCAAAATGTGAGGTGAAAATATGTGGAAGGAAAGGACAGACTTACATCGGTGACTGCCTTCTTAGCCCAAGCTTTACAATGAGAGAGAACTTGTGCATCGGTCTTCTTTGGCCCACCTGTAGTGTCTTGTTCCAGCTCCCTTGCCTGCTCTTGATCCTCATCCTCAATCTCTTCAGGATCCTCAACAGTTTTCAGTCCCATTTTTTCACGAAGTGAGTTGATGAAATCCCAGTCGTTATACTTCAATTGTTCATCCTCATCAAGTTGCCTCCATTGTTCAGCAACCTGTTGCATTCTCTCGGCAGGGGGCAGCAGCTCTGGGACCCAAAAAAGCACAAGGAAGAGAATTGAGAATATTTCAGATGATTGGGAGATGTATCGATGTCAATTCAGACAGGACTTACTTGAATCAAAAAGTTTTCGAGCTTCTGCAGCGTACCGGCAGAAATTATTGAACCTGTTGGGGCCTCGGACCTTGTTCCACACACCCACCCATTTGAAAAGAAGCTCTGATCGGATCTTGTGCTCTAAAGCTAGAAGGTGAATTTTGCGTTGATATTCTAAGGTGATTTCTTTGAGCTCATCTTTGATTTGATTGGTGATTCGTTTGTTTTGACCAACAGCATTCTGAGCGATTCGAAGTCCAAGGAGAGTTTCATTCTGGAGGCTACTCATCAGATTGTTTGGGAGAGATGGTCGGTTGCCAGAGACTGAAAGGTTTGGGTTTTCTTCGTTTTGAAATGTGGAAGCTTCTCCACGTGGACGGTTACTAGAAGGGTGGGGGTCTGATGCAGCGGTATTGGTGGTTGGCTCGCGATCCTCGTTTGATGTCGAATTTGCAGGAACTTGCGCTGGGATGACCGTCTTTTTCTTACGAGGCTTGCGCTTCTTGAATGGACGTGCATTTGCTGAACTAGTCGTGGTTGATGTTTGGCTAGTCGTTCCCCCGCCAGTAGGGTTTCGTTGTCCTTGAGTCGCAGTATGGCTTGTAGACTGACCCAAGCTGTTGTTGCTCGCCATCTGGTTAAACAGGACGTTTGGATTGCCAGGAACGAATCCAGAATTATTCACGCCAGAAAATGAGTTTTGAAGGTTTTTGTTTGTCTGGAACTCAACATCCATTAGTTGGTAATCACAATGGTTATTGCGATACGGTTGGGTACCTACATAGCCTAAGATATTTCCATAGTTATTCGCCATCGGTCTGTTGAATGATTCATATAAGTACCTGAGAGTGGAAGAATAATGAAAACGACACAATCACTCACCAGAGAAGTTATTAGATTGTATTTGCAATCACCAAATAACATAGCGCTTGCAGGGGTTGAATCGTGGCAGACTGTTTTTCGGTATCGCG